TTTTTATAAATGCAGGAGAGAAAATAGCAACAAAGATCCTTCAATCTCCCCCTATCCAGCTCTTTTGCTAACATTAGCAGTTTCGATCAAGATTAAATTCCAATTATAGCTCACTAAACTCACTAATAAAGTAACTGACCTAAGACAGCCAATTGTGAAATATATATGAAGAACTTTTGCTGCAAACATGTAAAATACAGTATATGATAGTCTAGCCTCTGGTTTTACAGATGCTTTTTTTTTAAGGGCTTCAAAGAAGCTGACAGTTTAAGGAACAAGAGATCCAGGAGATACAATCTTACTGAGGTTGGATCATCTTCAGTATATTCACGAATAGCCAGGTACATATACAAGAAGGACACTCTGCCTGCTAATGTAATCTCTCAATAAGTAAATGGGTAAAATGACTCTAGTGAAGTCTATTGCTGTTCCTTGTAAAAGAGCTCACTGCATTTGTTGCGATGCTGCCATGTGAAATCACAAGATAACAGACTCAAAAGACAGAGCTTACTGAAGCTGACATAAACCTTAACTTTATTTACTGAAACCAACAATCACCATTATAATATTATGCAGTTTGGATGTGCTTTTTTCCCCCCAAAGGGGTTTCCTTCCTGTCTGTCGCAATTCAGTTCTCAAATTGCTGTTGTTGCTTCTGCTCCTTTTAGAGTGACTTGACGCTGTCATTTTATTCCATGTTCAAGGCTGTTGGCTCACTGCCATATATCCAAATTCCTAATATTCATGCATGCATTTAATGGGTAATCTAATGTGGCCTGAATAATAGCTTTTGATAGGACCATTTATGAATATGGAGGAAAGGATGTAAGAACGAACATGGGGGAAACCTGGCATTAGCACACAGGAAATTCATGGGAGGATCTTGATGTATGCATTCCACAGAGAAAGAAATAACACTGATCTCAAAAAAATCGTTGCAATAATATTCTTTATTCAAAACCAAACAAAAATATCGTAGCACCCTTACAAAAAACAAAACAAACTTCACCTTCTTCCAGCATCTCCCACAAATAACAGCATTTTTCTCTCACATGCTTCCTGCATGCCCAATCCTGCCTCACTCATTAGAAGAGAGTTTAAGATTGTGAGTAATCAATACCTCATGGCCACAAAGGCAGCTGCTGTGAAGCTGGTGAAACTGCTGGACAGGCTAATGAACAGGACAGAGGAGGTTTCTTATCTCTACCTCCATTCCCCTCCACTAATAAAAACTACGCACTATTAGTACCATGCATCAGGGTGGGTTGTCCTAGGCAATGAAGATGAGGTCCACACTATTCCATATTATGTGACGCAATACTGGGCAACCAAAGAGAATGTACCATACGACTATAAGCTGTCATGTCCCCTGACATCAGCAACTTTGATTTAAACTGTCTCTGATGAGAGCAGTAGTCTGATTCAGCCTGCCAGCACATAAACAGGAGCAGCTCCAGACTCAGAGACAATGCATCGGCAAGATTAGGAGTGAAGCAATATTTTTCATCATCCAAGTTACTGAACAAACACAAAAGCACCTTGTCAGCAAGTGGTCCAGTCCACGAGTGTACTAATTATGCTATTTTAGGGTTATTTTTAATTGAGAATATTATATAATGATAAAATAATTACACCGGTATATAGAATCAAAGAATGGTAAGGGTTGGAAGGGACCTCTGTGGGTCATCTAGTCCAACCCCCCTGACAAAGCAGGGTCACCTACTGCTGTAGGTGCACCTTGTCCAGCCGGGTCTTGAATATCTCTAGAGAAGGAGACTCCACAACCTCCCTGGGCAGCCTGTTCCAGTGCTCCGTCACCCTCAGAGGGAAGAAGTTCTTCCTCATGTTCAGACGGAATTTCCTATGCTTCAGTTTGTGCCCATTGCCCCTTGTCCTGTCACTGGGCACCACTGAAAAGAGCTTGGTCCCATCCTCCTGACACCCACCCTTCAGATATTTGTAAGTATATATTAGGTCCCCTCGCAGCCTTCTCTTCTTCAGGCTGAACAAGCCCAGCTCCCTCAGCCTCTCCTCGCAGGAGAGATGTTCCAGTCCCCTCACCATCCTTGTAGCCCTCTGCTGGACTCTCTCCAGTAGCTCTTCATCC